GGCTATCAAAGGTTCTACTCATAAGAGGGCACTGGCCCTATGTCATCTTAGACACACAAATGACCGTAAAATATGAATTCAAGATTTGAACATCAGCTCGTTGGCGATTTGTCGTTCACTCTCTTCAATTTTCCTCGCCATGTTTATTAAAATTACGCAAGTTTTCTTTGTAGCGGCTAGACTTTGAGGGCGTGATTCCGTTGGGTACTATGCCCACAGGTACTTATAGCGAAAGAAAGGTATTCAAATTCAAAATATATATACCATGTAAAACAAAACTCGAGCCTGGCCGACTCTGTTATGTTTGTGATGGACAAGAAGCCAAATATTGCTACTATAAAGTAAAAAGTTTGAGAAATCCCCTCAGACTGAAACGTGGTTGACGTTTGGTGTACAGAGAGGTAATCATTTAACTTCATTTATAACTATTGTTTCTGTGATGTAAAGCGTTTTAAGGTAGGTTGGTTTGTAGTTGGGACGTACTAAGTTTGTCCTTAAACTGAATTCCCCACTGGTAAATAGTTTTCCTCTAAGAAGTTCAAATTTTATGGAGTAACCTTTGCAAAGGGTCTACAAATTCAAGCATTTCCACATTTTTCTTTGCTTGTATAACCTGTATTTGTAACTCACATGATATCAAGTTTACGAAATGCAACCCTAGGCTACTGAAAATCATGAAACTAAAAACAATCAGCTTCAAATTGTCAAGTAATCTCCTTTTAAACTTAACTTACCTTTCACTCTGAAAAATCACGAAATTTCGGTAAATATCGGCCTCATCACTTTTGCACAGATTACTTCCTGCTCTTTTTTGTTCTTTATCTTTCAAATGCAAATTAATAATATCGTTTTTATATTGATTTTTGGTCTTTCCATTGTTTTGTACAGGTTATTTTCAATAAATGGAAGAGTACCTCACATAACTTAGAGACGTATTGAGAAATTGGGGTCAAAACAATGGAAATTAAATTCTCGGAAATTTACGTTAACAAAAAATAACGCGACTAAAGTTAACGCGAATTCTGGAAGTTCACATTAATTTCATGAAGCATTAATTTCCTATAACAAGTTACCGTGGATTTTCTTTACAAAGTTTAACTGAACGACCTACAGGTACAACTGTCAGCAAGGAAAACAACGCCCTTAATATGTGTCTTTTTCCGCCTTCCTGAAACATCGATGCCATATTCTTGACAGATGTCTTTAACTGTTGCCATTCGCAACAAGGACAACTCATCTTTTGGCATGTTGCATAATTGAAGCGACTTCATGCATAATAGGGTGCTTTCACCTATTTAAATCTTGCTCTAAGGAAAGCATGATATTTTCTCTAACTTCTCATAAAGCGTATTCGTTTTCTGCGGCTTCATAATCAGACTCAGCGAAGCAATTCAGAAACTATATAGTCTCTGACTTGGGCATATATTATTCTTTGGTTTCAGCAAACGACAATTCTTCAAATATGTTGTCTAAACTGTCTTGCTTAATGTGACTAAATTGAATTTCAAATTTCTATGCTTGTAAACCCCACTCTCTGTCAAGGAGGAAACAATTATTCATTTCCGACATTTATACCCTACCCACTTCTCTTATGACCGATCCACGGAAAGGCGCCAGAGAAGAAAAGAATAAAGAATAATAATTGAGTTTCGCGGTCTAATAACCTGTTCAAAACAATAGAAAGGTGCATTTAAACAAATTGAAGATAATGGAGAAGAAGTGGAAGATTGGTCCCTTCAAGTGGAGGGTTTAAGTATTGTTCCGCCAATTTTTTCGTACAAAACTTAACAAATAACGCAATGCTTTTTCTGTTATAAATGTGATCATTGAAAAATTCAAATTCAAATTCAGTCTACTTCGCTTGGGTATATTTTTCGCGCATCTACTTGAATACCGTCCTGGGGGCGGGTGACTGAGCGTTGAATTCATTTATTATTACAATGAAAAAATAACATTTTCATAGCAAGAGAAATAAAGAGATTGCAATTGCATGCGATGGATAAAAATCTCACTTCATTACCAAGAAGAAACCAATGAAGCCAAAAACAATGCTGGCCATTCATTTGAAGGCCTTGAGTACTTAAGATTACTGATAACAGATTTGAATAGCTTTGAATTTCCGTCATTAATATGACCGAACTTTAAGGCCTACGCGCTTGCTCGTTATTTTCAAGAGGTTCGAAGGGGGAAGGCATTATCCGATTTTATGCGCCTTTCCATTGTTTTAGATCCAGCCATTATTGCTTGTCCACTAAAGCGGAAAAGCAGATCATCATTGTTAATAATGATCTCCTGTTCCACTTTAGCGAGCTACTCTTCCATTTATTGAAAACAGTAAGCTGTTCAAAACAATGGAAAGACCCAAAAGCAATATAAAAACCATATGTTTAATCTTAGTTTATTAGGTTGCATTTGAAAGATACCAAACAAAAAATAACGGGAAGAGCTCTGTGCAAAAGAGGAAGAAGAGATGAGGCCGATATTCCCAGAAATTTCGTGAATTTTTCAGAGTGAAGGGTAAGTTAACTTAAAAACGAGATTACTTGAAATTTTGAAGCTGATTGTTTTTAGTTTCATGATTTTCAGTAGCGGGGATTTCTCAAACTTTTTACTTTAAAGTTATAGCAATATTTGGCTTCTTGACCATAACAAAAAATACATGGTATACATGTCTCAATTTAGCAACACTTTTTTTCGGACACCACAATTTTTTAGTATTGCTGTCTGCGCTGTTGATTTTGAATTTGTCTGCGCTTTTGATTTTGAATTTGAATACATTTCATGCGCCATAGTCAGCGCGGGCATAGTACCCAACGGAATCACGCCCTCAAAGTCTTGTCGTGATTAAGAAACCTTGCGTATAATTTCAATAAACAAGGGAAAATTGAATAGAGCGAACGACAAATCGCCAAGGAGCTGATGTTAAAATCTTGAATTCATGTTTTACGGTCATTTGTGTCTATGATGACATGGGACCCCTGCCTTCTTATGACTAGAACCTTTGATAGCCAAATGGTAAAAAATTAAGATCACGCTGCATAGTCAACCATATGTTCAGTGATTTTCTCCATATAATCACAACTAAATTTAATAATGACACTAAAATTCAAGCAGAGTAACACAGAGTTGTCGAAAATACAATAAATCCTTACCATTGTTGCCTCAGTTCAAAAGTGAAAGGACGTTTCCTTTAGTTTTAAATGCACTGTCATGGTTTGCCGTAAGAGAATGTATTGGGCTTTGAAAGCGAGGATTGATAGCTATTGATTGTTGATGCGCCCTTCGGATTAACCTTATTACGGGTTTTGTCTAATTTTCAGTTGCCCCCAAATTACTTTTTGAACATTATTCAAGCTTCATGCTTCAAGTATTTGCGTGTGTACTTGACCCATTAAAAACGAGAAGGATAATTTCCCATAAACTACTGTAAAATCATTTTTTGGAGGCTTTTGAAAGTTGTCAGGTTTTTCTCTATTTTTCCTTCTAGTGGTATGAGCTACGTTTAAAATAATCACATGACAAAGCACAAAAAAAACCTCACACAATTGCATTGCTTGTGTAACTCTTTCAGTCAGGCGAAATTGTTTTTAATGTCAATTAAAGAAGGTTTGAGACAAAGAGACGATGTCAATGGCCTTGTAATGGTTTTTAAGAATAACGAGTTGTCGCATTTGTTCTTAAAAAAGGCTTTAAGCAAAGTCTTTCTTTGCAGTGGGTTAAAGCTTATTAGTTTGACAACACATTTCGCCATGTTGCTCTGACTTGTTCAAGCGTCTGAGCCGAATGATGACGTTACGAAAATCTTGATATATTACTTTGAATCGCAATGCATTGTGGGAAGACGTTCATTCCTCCCCTGAGTTTAAACTTTGTTTTAAATAGATTAAAAGTATACACACAGGCGCTTCTTTCTTTAAGGCTTGGCTAAATCTATATATTATTAAAAATCCGATGTACTTAAGTCTATTTCCCCCGCCTTTGTGTTCTATGACTGGAACAACGAACTACAGGGCTGTGCGGTCATTGAACTACGGGTTTGTTTATTGAACTGTTTTTTATTTATTGAACTTTTGTGAAGTTATTGAAGTATATTTGTTGGCAAACACTCTGAAATAAGTTCACCACCTCTGATTGCCCATTTCTTGATTATCCTTTCGTGACAGCCCCGTCTTGATGGGTCACTACGGATGTAACATTTCACTACCAAGACATTCTGTATCTCTGACCATGGGTTTCTTCCTGTCACTTGCATCGAGTCTTTCTGTGTCTTCCTATGCCTGGTCAGCTGTAGGATAACAACCCGGGGTTACAGGCCATTTACATCGACCCTGCCGGGCGAGAGGCTGCCTTTAGGACTGGCAGTCTCATTCACGCCGTTCTCTAAGTTGTATTTGTCTCTGATTCATCTTCAGATTTGAACAGCAACTATTTTATCGCTAGACAAATTGCAATTTGGAGTTTGTTCTCCTTGATGGGTTTCCAGGCAAATTTAAAGAATTCCGCCTGCACCGTACCGCAACCCTGACAGGGATAGCCGAGGGGCTGCTGGCACTAGCAACGACAGACTCTTGTGGCCGGGGTCGTCCACTTCCTCTTGATAGGCTGAGCTCCAACCTACTCCATATTCATTATTACGATTATAGTTATTATTATCATTATGATGATGATGATTATCATTTTTTGTCATCATCATCATCATCATCATCATCACAATTTTATCTTTTTTTCGTTTTTGCAGCCTAGCAATCTATAGTTTATTCTATCCTTCATATAATATGGCGATCAACTCTCAAACCGGATCGAGTTCCCATGACCCCCTTGGACGTTCTCGCAGTGAAATTGGTTTGGAAGTGGCCTTAGCTATTCTTATTTGCCTCATGTCCATCCTCGACAACTTATTAGTCGTCTATGTTGTCCACAAAGACTCCAGACTCAAGAGCTTAACGAATGTATTCATTCACAACTTGGCATTGACCGACATTTCCTTAGCATCGCTTCACATGCCCTTTTGGGTAATAACCCTGTATACAGGGACTTGGATTTTTAGCGAGAGGTGGTGTGAGATTCAAGCTGTGATCCAGTGTACGTTAGGACTTGCTTCTATCCTAAATATGGGACTTATCGCCTTTAACCGGTATATCCGAGTCGTCAAACCAGCGTTTTACAGGAGACTTTTCCCGAGCAACAGAATGGCACGATTCTACTGCGCCCTGGTATGGATAGCTTCTTTGCTTCTTACAACACCGCCATTATACGGCTGGGGCAAGATGGCCTACCATCCTCTCTTTGCTGTCTGCACTTTTAATTGGACAATCGAGCATATTTCATGGGCCATAGTTACCGTGGGCGGATTGATCAACGGAATAACAGTTTCAATATTTTACTCCTACTACAAGATTTATAAGACTCTTAAAGAAAGCACTCAAAATCTAAATGCCCACAGCATTCAAGATGGAGCGGCTTCGGGACGTCCTGCAACTGATATCAGACTCCTGAAAACCAGTTTCACGGTCGTTTGTGTATTTGTAATAACATGGGGACCAGTGTCTGTTGTAGTGATTGTAGAGACCGCTGGGAGCTTTATCCCCAGAGAGATTTTTATGGCAGCTGTTTACCTTATGTTTACTAGTAGTTTAGCAAACCCAATTATATACGGGATTATGAATCCACATTTCCAAGGGGCCTTCAAAAGGGCTTTAATTTTTGGTCGTTATGGTAACAACCAAACAAGTCAGAGTTCTAAAAGAAATAGAGACAAGCCTTGAAGCCAACCTAAATCTCTGAGGCGACAGGAAGGCTAGGAGTAGGCCATTTGCACAACGGCGTCGTTTTACTACTAGTACTGACAGAACCCATTTCGTGTCTCCCTTCATATTTAAAATTTAATAATCCCTGCGAAGTTTGAATAACAATTTAGCCCCAGGTAAGAGGACCATGGCTAGACCATGTTCAACCATGGTTTTACCATGGTTGAACACGGTTTCCAGCTATGGTCTACCATGGTTTGGCACTGATATAACGATGGTTTGACCATGGTCAACCATGGTCAAACTGTTATGACATAAGCAGGGATCAACCATGGTTGACCATGGTAAAAGAACATGTTAGACCATAGTAAGCCCGACTTTGCATAAGAAAGCGAGACCCTTGAGGATTCTGGTAGTAGTAGTCAAAAGATGGCGTCATCGTGGAAATCACCTCTGAGCCTGCAGAATAGCCGTGATTTCCCTGCTTTATTTCAGGCCAAGCCGTTTATTCAGCACACTCTATACAGCTAGCAAGCAGCTGCTTCGAAAGGAATGCGAATCAGGCCGCGTCAACAACTGAGAAGGACTTCAAATTAATAAAAGATGATCAAGATATGAAATAATATAAGTAAAAAAATTGCCTCTTTTAAAATCTATACCCAGCCATGGACAGCAGTTTCGCCCTTGTTAGGACTCATCAGCATGGCAAAGCCAGCACGGTCTCAACGCCCGTCCGATGCGTGATTCTCCACTTTAGAGACAGGCGCGGCGCAGCCTTGCTCCGTTACAGAAATCGCCCCAAAACCATCGTTCTTATGTGTGAACAGAATACCGTAAAATTCCGAAAATAAGCCCCGGGGCTTGTATTTTTCAAAGAACCTTTTTGAGGGGCTTATATTCAGAGGGGCTTATGTACCGAGAGAAATTTGCGTTTAAAAATCGATTGGGCTAGCCATATCCTTGTTCGAAAATTTACCGTTCTCCTTTGTTTCACTTTGTATTTGAGGACAATTTCCAAGTACAAGCCCCCGGGGGCCTATATTTGGAGGGACGATTTAACAGAGGGTTTTTTGCGTTACGAGTTTTGGGGGCTTATATTTGGAGGGGCTTATTTTCGGAATTCTACGGTAGGTTTAGAATTCTGCTCGGTATCCGAAAAAAATTTATTTTCGCAAATATAGAAGGGAGCCTTCGCCTAACCCTTAAAACCTAATTAGATATTCATTATTTTTATGTGAGTGCGTTGTAGCTATTAAATAATCAAATTTGCTTTTTATTTAGTTTTAAATTTTTCTTACAACTGCTATGCATATCATTAGTGCCACTGATTATCCCTTACTCTGCTCAAATTCTACTCGAAAATGCCTTATTCTGCCGGCAGAATTCTCGCCTTAAAAATTGATTATTCTGCTCGAACTGCCGGCAGAATTTATTCAAGCCTAGAACAGAAGCCTTAAGCTAGTCCGTATGGTGTGAAAATAGCCTTACCGTCCACACGTATCCGGAGATTTTTGTATCCGCAAATTTTTTTATGCGGATACAAAAATATCTGCGTCCACACGTAGCGTATACGAATCGTATACGACCGTCCACACGAATCCGATTCGTATCCGGACATCTCAAAGGATTAGTCAACAGAGCATGCGCATTAAGACTGGTTCTGATACTGTGACGTCAGCGTATACAAAAATATACGGATACGAGCGTCCACACGTATCCGGATACACAGCGTATACAGAAATTTCCACTCTGGAGAGCGTATACAGAACTCTCCGGATACACCGAGCGTATACGGCGGACACTTGTGGACGCTAGGTGTATACGCATAAAAAAATTTGCGGATACAAAAATCTCCGGATACGTGTGGACGGGGCCTTCCACTTAGCAAGCATGTTTTTCCTATTAGACTGTATTTATTACGCTAAAAATTTGACTCCAATCAATGGAACTCAAATGCTTTTTTTGACATATCGTGAATAATCACCGTATCATTGGTTGGGAAAATGTTTTCAAGAGCGTGAGGTTGATAAAAATCATGTCAGCATTTCACGCCATTATACAATACTTTGTTCATTCGTTCGCATTCACGGCGTAAAATTAAGGCTGAAACGCTTTCCATCTTCGGTCTCTCATTTCGTGATAGAAAATTACGTTTTCACGGCTAAAAGACAACAAGTTAGGGAGATTTGATTAGTCTGCACATATAAGATCGTGTTTTCAGTTTTTTGTCTAGTTTGGGTAAATTATTTTGTAATATATTATATATGCAAAACAGAGAAAATTGAGGATAAAATGCAGTATTACATGGATGAAAAAGGATTTCCTAAGATTAGAAATTGGACAAGGTAATCAAGAAATTGAAATTATCATCTTTTAAAAGAAACTCATTTGTCGTTAACTTAAACATATTCCTTGGTTTCACTTTAGCTCGGTTCTTTTTTCAGCCCAGCAACAGGTGTAAAATACAGTAGTAAATTAAAATGGTGAAGCGTAGATGGGAGCTCAGAGGAAAAAAAAATTAGCACATAAACTCTGCGGTTCTCAGTCGCTAAACAAAAGATGTGGAATAAATTTCATGACTATTAATCGCCTGTCGGCTGAATAAAACAGGATCAATATATATCAGGTATTAAAGTTAATTCTTCACATTAGTGGTTATCATTTGTGTTTTCTGGTTTACTCGCTATGGTATATTTTAATCTTGCGTAACTATTAGAACTCAGGGCCAGAAACCCTGCGTTCGCTTTGCAAAGAACATTGAACACTTATTAATTGGTAACTGAACGTTTGGAATGTATTTGTTATTACTACGAAAAAGGTACTGACATTAAAAAAATTTAACTTTTTCACAACAAGAGGAAGAAACTACTTGCATGCGATTAATAAAATCACTTTGTTACCAACAACGCCGAAGACAATAGACCTTTTTAACTTGTACGATTTGTTTCCTTATTTATGACCGTGTGATGTTATCCTAAAGAACAGTTTCTTCCAAATTTAGTCCTTTCCACGTGCATATGTACGCAAAATTTCTGAAAAGACAAAAGGTTAATCCCTTGAGAACATCGTGTGGCCTGATTTGGGAAAACAAAACATAAGCTCAAAAGGTCTATATTGGGCCGTTTATTAGAAGGCAGTCGTGGACTACAAATTAATTTGCTGTCATTTATCTATCGATAAAAAGATCAGTTTCTTAGAGCTAAAATACTGAAAAGCGATATTACAACCACTATAATGACTATTCATTTGATAGCATTCTTAAAAGTATACAAAGCAAAACAGAGCAGGAGCCTTCTGCAAAAGTAATGGGGCAAACTTCTTAGACACTTGCTCAGTGTTTCAGATTGACAGGTAAGGTAAGTTGAAAAGAATTTGTTATTTACCACTTCAAAGCTTACCAATTTGAGTCTTACGATTTCCGGTAAACTAGGCCTACAGTAAACCTGCATTTTTCTCATATCTTGATAACTTCTCGGTACTATTTTAGGCAAAAAAGTAGAAAACGTTTGAATTGATTTAAAAGGTCCCTTTTGAAAATTATTACATAAGAAAATTGAAAGGAAGGAATACCTGTTCCTTTTCTTTCAGTTCATTTGCTTTTAACTCTTAAAACTGGCTGTATAAACATAGGCGTAGCGTTACTTTTTGAGAACTGTATTACACATGCACCACCAAATATAAAAGTTGTGACTGGCACGATAGTTATAGAGTGAAATGAATACTGCGCGGTGGAGTAAACGTAAAACTGCGTTTGGATCCAGCGGGGACTTTTTAAATATAAATTTTTTATAGTTAACCCTCCCCCTAAAATGATTAATTTGTCTTTTTTAAATTTCTTATTATTTTTTCCACAATTCCTTTTACACACCACTGGAAATGAAAACGTTTTTGTAAAGCAAGGACAGGTGCACAGAAATTAATCTGGATAACGAATTGAAGTAAGGAAATTGATGTTTTAGACAATATTGACCAAATAATTTTCTATTTCGTGATAATCAATTTTCCACTTTGATGCCAAAATATGACAAAGCAAATCTACTTTTTTGCGAGCTTTAAACTTTTTCCCAAATCAATCTTCCGATCTCTCTCAGTATCCAGTTCTGTTTTCTGTTTCCTACAGTTTGTGTATTAATTCTGTTTTTATAACCATATTAGGTTCCTAAATTAGAGGAAATAATCTAGTAGTTTTTTTCCTTAGTCATTTTTGAAACTGAAATGGAAGGATGAGACATGATCTTGTGGCAGAAATGTATTTTAAGAACTAATTCTGGCATTCATACCATTTGCCACCACAATCTATTTGGTGTTTCCTTGCAACTTTGTCATGTCCCTTTTTATATGAATTCCACACATTCTACACTTCGGTTACACATTCTGTTTCTTGATCCTAGCTGGCTTGTAAGATGTGTGGTCTTAACATCGAAATTATTATTATTATTATTATTATCATCATCATCATCATCATCATCATCATCATTATCATCATCATCATCATCATCATCATCATCATCATCATCATCATCATCATCATCATCATCATCATCATCATCATCATCATCATCATCATCATCATCATCATTATTATTATCTATTTCATCTTTTTCCAGGCCTTGTCCTCATATAATATGACGAACAACTCTCTAACTGGAACGAGTTTCCATAACCCCTTAGGACGTCCTATCAGTAAAATAGGTTTTGAAGTGACCTTGTCCATTCTTATTTGTCTCGCCTCCTTCCTCGACAACTTATTAGTCGTCTATGTTGTCCATAAAGACTCCACACTCAAGAGCTTAACGTATGTATTCATCCACAACTTGGCATTGTCTGACATTTCCATGGCATCACTGTACATGCCCTTTTGGGTAACAAACCTGTATACAGGGACTTGGATTTTTAGCGAAACGTGGTGTGAGTTTCAAGGTGCAATTTTGGGGACTTTAGCAATTGCTTCTGCCCTGAATATGGGACTTATCGCCTTTAACAGATATATCCGAGTCGTCAAACCAGCGCTATACAGCAGGCTTTTCCCAAGTAAGAGAGTGGCACGACTCTACTGTGCCGTGGTATGGATCGCTTCTCTGTTTCTCGCAACACCGCCGTTATACGGCTGGGGCAAGATAGTGTACCATCCTCTTTTTACTGCCTGCTGTTTTGATTGGAAACTCGAAAATATTTCATATGCCATTGTTATCGTGAGCGTAGTGTTCAACGGAACGACAGTTTCAATATTTTACTTCTACTACAAGATTTATATGACTCTGAAAGAAAGCACTCAAAATCTAAATACCCATAGCATGGAAGATAGATTGGCCTCATCAGGACGTCCTGAAACTGATATAAGGCTGTTGAAAACCAGTTTCACGGTTGTTTGTGTATTCTTGATGACATGGGGACCAATTACTTTTGTTGTGGTTCTTGAGACCGCTGGATGCTCTATCCCAAGGGAGATTTTCATAATATCTATGTACCTTATGTTTACAAGTAGTTTAGTAAATCCACTTATACAGGTATTTCGAGAAAGGTTGTCGGAAAAAGTGCACGCAACAACCCCGAAAGGTATTGTGGGTAGTTTTGAGTGCCCTGTTCTTCAAAGAAATTTGAAAGAATTGCACGGGAGGCCACGGACATATGTTTGCGAGTGCCAAAGGAAAGTAAAAAAATTAGTTTTGACAGCTACAGTCGTTAGGAACAGTGTATTGATCATATCCCATATTACCTTTCGGGATTGTCGCGTGCACATTTTTTCCGACAACCTTTCTCGAAATAGCTGTATACGGGATTATGAATCCGCCTTTTAGAGCAGCCTTCAAAAGGGCTTTAACATTTCGTGGTTACGGCAACAACCAAATATGTCACGGTTCTAGATGAAATGAAACCAAACCTTCTAGGCGGTTAACATTAGATAACACCGAGTGAAGCCAGATTGGACACATTATGAATTTTACACAACGCATTATTTCCATAATAGAACGAGACTGGAATGTAGAATGAGGCTAGAATAGCTGAAGAAACCAAAACTACAGAGCGCCATTTATGGAGAGAACACAGTAGAGAGTTAAGCACTGATCTGCAGTGATTAGGGTTAAGCACTAAACTGAAAACGGTTAGCTTTCAAATATGGTAAAGGGGTACGGCATAAGAACATGTATATTTTAAAAATTATTGGATTTGGCAGCTAGTCCTTGATAGTGTAGTGGATATGGATGGATAAGCAAGTGACCCGGGTTTAAAGCATTACGGTGGATTTTTTCTATTTTATTTTATATTACAAAGTAAAGTTGGACTTAAGTTGTTCTTCATGTAATTTTACTGAAAGAAACAATCTGACTTCAGCCGATGTTACCTAATGCTAACCCTTCTAGGCAACCTTGATCTCTAGGTAAGAGGGCTCAGAATGAACCTCGAGGGCTGGCGTTTTTTTAGTGTTCGTGTTGTCGGTCTCGCTATCGTTGACTTTGACAAGACAGGAGGATTGGGGAGGGCAGAAATAGCGACCGCCAGGGTGGCTATTAGGGTAAAGGAACGAAGAAAACTCCTACATTGCAAGCTAACTCGCAATATTCCAATGCAACTGAAACATTATTCATTTAAGGGTTATATCTGAGTGCGTTTACTGCTTGTCGGCGACGGAGCTATCGGTGAAGTTGCAAGCGAAAATCCCAACTTCACTCACCTCCCATCTTTGTAGCCGCTTTAACGCCAAATTCATTCCGCGGGGTAGTGTCGTGAACAGTCGCTCGGGACACGTTTTGCCAGTGATGTAGGCCACGTAGTGTTAGTGAAGTTGTACAAGTCCCATAAGGATAGAAGTGGACAAACCTCGAAATTTTTCCCTGTTAAAATGACTTACTAAGTTATGACAGAAACAAACAATAAAATATTTGACTCAGGAACATTAAATACCAAGCCTTTTCTTGAGGGCCATAAAACAAACAAGTGATAAATGCAGTATTTCTAAATGATGTCATTATATACACTAAAAAAGAAATAAAGAAATAAAATACCCTGAGGTGCTTCATTTTTGCGAGTTATATATTTTGCTTTCACTATTCTTATTTAATCATTGAACGTTTATTTCAAAGTCGAAATTATATGATGTCACATTCATGGAATTTCGATGGTTGATAGATTGTGGCACAAAACTTTACTCCGCTGTCGGAGGGAGAATACTGGTATAAATCGAACCCGAGACCAAACGACGGCATTAAATTACCGAGAAACAACGACCAGTGTTATTTCGTTCAAGGAGTTAAGTCCCCGAAAATTTTGGCGGAAGACGGAGTGCGGCATGTTTTCGATTCCTATCGCAATCCGGACGAAAGGTTGTTATTATCCCTGCTCCATTTTAGACCAAACCGTTGCTGAAGCACACTCTGATACATTACATGTTTTCAGCTAAACAGCAGTTGCTTCGAAGGGAATGCAAACGCGCGTCCACGACTGAAAAGGACTACAATTTAGTCAAGGCGCAACTAAAGTGATGAATAATAGTAAAAAGCTGCGTTTTCGAAAATCTTTGTCCTTACCCAATCTCAGCGCAAACTGTGCACTATTTTCGGTAAAACCAATGTATTTTTAGATAAAACCAATGTACACTTTTCTGTGACTTTTTCAGTGCCTAGTTTACTACAGAAAGCACAATATTAGCTTAGATTTTACCAAATTGTTTACAAGAAAAAAATTGGAATGAAATAGGAACGTAGTGTTTGTTTTTAAACATTATTTTATTTCAGGTGGAGCTCAAAAGATGAGTAAAAGAAAATATTGCGTCTTCTAAAATCCGTAACTGCCATTTCTAGCGCAAACCGTGCCATATTTCTGACGAAAAGAGCTGAAAAATATACTCCGTGGTGCAGCACATGCCTGTTTAACCTTTCAAATAAAACACTTGCAAGTTTCTGTGACTTTTCAGCAACCGGTTAACTATGGAAAGCAGAACATTACCTGAGGTTTTGAGGACGTTATTTGCAAGAACGAAATGTGAGTGAGAACTTAAGAATCTAAAGCTCTGTTTCAGTAAACATTGGCTTGCTTAGGTGAAACATAAGCAAAGACTTTGCTTATGCCCAGCAAAGGATCATACACTATAAAGTTGTTGAAAAACTGCCCATTTACAGCCCCTCATGCCAGCAACCCAAGCTCGAAGTCTTTACAATTGCTAGTTTATTATCAAAGAAGACACGTTTAAGAAAACGAGTTGAGTACATCACGAGAGACTACTCTTGTAAAAGGAGCAATTACATCGAGGTAAATGGAAAACAGTTCATTTCTCAATAGCGCCATTATGAAATATGCTTTATGTCCATTCATTCGCAGCAGTGCTTGATTTTAAGTGTAAGAGCTGACGCACTTTTTATCTTCCGTCTCTCATTTATTAATAGCTGATTACTCTTTTGCAGTAAAAGTCATAAGTAGATTTTATTAGCCTGCATATATATTATCGTAGTTATACAGTAGTAATATAATGTGCCAAACAGAGAAAATTAAGGAGAAAATTCAGTATAACATAGTTCCATTACTTTATTCAGTCTAGCAACAGGAATAAAATACAGTAAGTACATATATAAAAGCCCAGAAGAAAAAATGGTGAGGCGTTTAAAACCTCGGCTTCCCAGGTGCTAATAAAACAAAAGAAGTAGTCAGAATGAATTTTATGACTTCTAATCGCACTTCGGCTAAATAGAACAGGATCAATGTGTTTTAGTTATTAAAGTTAATTCTTTCACATTAGGGATAATCATTTATGTGTTTTCTGGTTCATTCGCTTTGGTATATTTTAATTTTGCGTAATTAACTATTAGAAATCAGGGCCAAAAACTCTGCATTCGCAGTTGATACTACATCGAACACATAGTCTTGGCATCAAGGTTGTTGGTAGCTTCTTGGGATCAATTTGTTATACTGTGAAAAAGGTACATTGAAATTATTTGACTTTTTCCCAAAAAGAGAAAGAAAGTAACCAATAAAGCCGAACATAATACAAGGCCGTTTATTAAAAGGTATTCAATTAGTTCACTATACAATAGGCCTTTTGCACGATGGCGTCGTTTTACTACTACTAGCTACAGAATCCTTCCGGGTTTTTCTTTCTTGTGCAAATTAGTCTTGGCGTTTTGAATGAATATTGTTACGTTATTACCTATGAAAAACTTTTAAAACTCTTTCTTCTCTTTTTTTACAACAAAAAACCACTTTGTCCCAAATAAAACCAAAGACACCCTGTATGTTTTCTTTCCACATTCAGGACCATGTGATGTTACCCAAGAAAAGAGTTTCTTTCAAATTTTGTCCGACCCACGTGAACGCAAGTGCGACATAATCTATGAAAATCTCTTGAGACCATTAAGTGATCTGAATGGGGGAAACAAAACATGCAAGCTGAAAAAGTCTTTACGAAGCCGTTTATTAGAAGGCAGTTGTTGATGATGAAATAAATTCCCATCATTAAGTTTTCGTTATATAGCAGCATTTCATTTTACAGAGCAAAACCGAAAGGAGTCCTCAGCAAAAGCAACGAGGCCAAACGTTCCAGAAATTTGTTGAGTTTTTCAGATTGATAAGCAGGGTAAGATAAAAGCAAAGGTTTATATTTGCCACCTTCGAAGCGTACCGTTTTAGAGAGACTTTCTTAGTTACTGCTGTTCAATTTTTGCTATTTATCTATAAATATAAAAAAGAGAGTTACTTTGAGCTAACAAAATGAAAGCAATGTAACAACCATATATTTAGTCTTCAATAGGTACATTGTAGAATTAACAAGATCAAAAGCAAACGGAGGAGAAGGCTGCGAGAGTAACGTGCCCAAACTACCCAGACTAATTTGTGAAATTGTGCGCTCGATTGACAGGTAACCTGAAAACAGTGTGTTTGCCTCTTCTAAGATTGCCGTTTTAGTCCCCATTGTTTCGGTAAACTAATAGCTACAGTAAAACTCAATTGGTAAAATCTTGATAAAGTTACAATTTAATATATAAAAGTGAAAACTTTTGAATTTTTTCAGTGAACCCTTTAAAAGAACACAAAATGAAATTTAAAAGGAAAATTAAAAGCTTTTTTGGTGTTGCTCCGTTTACACGTTTTTTCTTCGAACTACCTATATCAATCACCATAGAGGTTACCACTACGTCTTAGGAACTGTTTAATACACTCACAGGTCCACCAAAAATTACGAAATTACAAAGTGGCACGATAGCTAGGTTGTATAGTGAAACTGTAGAGTAAAATAAAAACTTCGTTTCCATCTCGGAGACTTTTAACCCTCCAAAAATCATTCAATATTTGTCTTTCCTTATTTTTTAAAAAATTTCGGTTTTACAAACCAGATTTTTGCACAGTGGCGACAGGTGCTGCCATTGGTGCGGATATCAATTGAAATAACAAAATAGATGTTTAGCTAAGAATGGCAGTAGGAGTATAGTGGTGACCGAATTATCCTTTTTTTGCAAGAAAACGTGCTTAGGAATACATTTACGCAAATAACGTCATTGCCTTTAAGGTTTTTCTCTTGAATAAAAAGCGGGGGAATCTCATTATCTTGCAGGGCAATACATTAACGCCGATGACGTCATAAAATGCGGAGGAATCTCAATATCCTACTGAGAGGCAATATTACAATCACAAGCAACATTGGGGATAGCAAATTCCCGTTGAATACCCCTTCTTCACCCATATCCTCGCCGGGGTCTTCATACTTCCCACCGTTTAATGTTGTCTGCAAAATCTACAAGCTCAAGAGTTGATATATTAATAGTTTAAAGAAATATTTCTTGTTTTATAACAAAATAATTATCATCAGTATCGTCACTTTCATTGTATTATTGTCGTTTTAGTGTTGATATTGTTACTCTATGTTTATCTTTTTTGTGCAGATTGTCCTGATATAACATGCAGAACAACTCTCAAACTGAGCAAAGTTCCCATGACCCCCTAGGACGTTCGCCCAGTGAAATTGGTTTGGAAGTGGCGTTGTCTATTCTTTTTTGCATCACCTCCGTCTTCGGCAACCTATTAGTTGTCTATGTTGTTTATAAAGACTCCAGACTCAAGAGCTTAACGTATGTATTCATCTTCAACCTGGCATTGACTGACATTTCCATGGCATCGCTGCACATGCCCTTTTGGATAACAACCTTACGTACGGGGACTTGGGTTTTTAGTGAGAAGTGGTGTGGGCTCTCAGCTGCACTTATGATGACGTTGGCAAATGCTTCTGTCCTGACCATGGGACTTATCGCCTTCAACCGATATATCCGAGTCGTCAAACCAGCTCTGTACAACAGCTTTTTCCCGAGCAAGAGAATGGCAATATTCTACTGTGTAATCGTTTGGATAGCTTCAATTCTTGTTGCAACACCACCATTGTACGGCTGGGGCAAGATAATATACTACCCTTCATACGCTGTATGCGGTTTCGATTGGAAAATCGAGAATATTTCATATGCCATAGTTATCGGGGGCGGAGTGATCAATGGGACCACAATTTCATTATTTTACTGCTACTACAAGATTTATAAAACTCTTAAAGAAAGCACTCAAAATCTAAATTCCCATAGCAGACAAGATGGAGCGGCCCCCTCAGCACGTCCTGAGACTGATGTAAGACTCTTGAAAACATGCTTCACAGTCGTTTGTGTATTTCTGATGTCATGGGGAACAGTGTCTGTTGTTATGAGTCTTGAGACTGCTGGCTTCGTTATCCCCAGAGAAATTTCTGTGTCAGTTGTTTTCATTATGAACACAAGTTATTTGGTAAATCCAATTATATACGGGATTATGAATCAGCAATTCAAAGAGGCCTTCAAAAGGGCTTTAAAATTAGGTTGTTTGAACAACAACCACTAAGTCAGGAAGCTAAAAAAAGTGGAAACAAGCCTCGTAGCCTGCCAACCTTAAAGGGGTTTTACTGTCACGAAATTAACTGATCAAAATTCAAACAGTGAGAACCGCCACCAAATTGAGAGAAACATGAATGATCGGCCCCCAAAACGTTAAAAAGGTATAAAACACACAGCAAATACCACAGGAGGCACAGATGGAAAAACGTGAAGAAGATTGAAGCAGATTACAACTGTTGTTTTTGTAAACTTGTAGTTTGTAACGTTGTATATAGTGCTTGGTAGGTATTTGCTGACACAGAGCTAGGATTTGTCTTTCACACGTTGTTTTTTCAAGTCCCATGGGCAATAAGGAAGTGTCACTGGCGTTATCATTAAATAAAAAAATCCATGACACAGCCGCATTTTAATCTCTTGAGACGATACAAGGCAAGAATTACGGGACATACTTTTTCGTGTGGTATTCTAATTTAACCTTGCATTGATAATGGTTGAAACCACTGTAAATAGTAATATGTGTTACACCCATAAGTCAGGATACATTTGTTGCGATGATATACAACGATGTTTACGCTTAATTTAAGGCTGCTTACCCAAAATACTCTTCAGATTATTAAAAGCGATCAAAAGCGGAGAAAATTAGCTTTCGAATGTTTGCACTAAATTTGGATGACTTTTGGCGGATATACAGTGCATTACAGATCACGATTTCTATGAGAATTTATCGCAAGATCGATAAAATGGTCAAAATGAATTAAACAGCTATTAAAGTGTCCATACCTCATAAAGAGATGTCTCTGTATTGTTTTCTTTCTGTTCCCTGCCCTATAAACGCCATTTAAGCAGGCTTGGAATGAGAATGAATGAGAACTAAAGAACATAAAGCTCTGCTTCAGTAAACATTGGCTTGTTTAGGTGAAACATATGCAAATTCTTCGCTCATGCCCAGCAAAGGATCATGCCCGGGGAGGGGGGGACTCCGCATATGAGATGGGTGGGGATGCTCGTTGTCTCGCTTAGGGGTGTAAATTTCGGATTTTGGTCTCACTTAGGGTGTTCTGGGCAAAACGCCATCATATTTAGCCGTGAAGGTCTCGTTTAGGGTTGCACGCGAAAAAAAACTTAAAAATATAGATTTGATAATGTATATTTTTAATGCGTTTTATTTACTCCAGTCATATAATCCAAGTTTTCTCATTTGTCTGCGTTTTAACATGGTCTCTTTTAGGGGTCAAAAAAAGCTTGGGTCACGCCCAGATCGGTCTCCTTTAGGGGTTTAATTCAAAATTTCCGACGAGCATCCCCACCCCTTTCATATGCGGAGTCCTCCCCCCGGGGGATCATGCACTATTAAAGTTGTTGAAGAACTGACCATTTACAGCCCCTCCTGCCAACAACCCAAGCTCGAAGTCTTTACAATTGCTAGTTTACTATAAAAAAAGACACGTTTAAGAAAACGATTTGAGTACATCTCGAGAGACTAGTCTTGTATAACTAGTAATTACATCGAGGTAAATGGAAAACAGTTCATTTCTCAATAGCGTCATTATGTAATACAGCTTTATGTCCCTTCATTCGCAGCAGTGCTTGATATTAATTGTAAGAGCTGACGCACTTTTTATCTTCCGACTCTCATATATTGATAGCTGATTACTCTTTTGCAGTAAAAGTCAGTAAGGAGATTTTATTAGCCTGCATATATATTATCGTGGTTTATATCCAGTTTGGATTGGAAAGACAAAAAAACTATAATATAATGTGCAAAACAGCAAATTGAGGATAAAATTCAATATAACATGGATGAAAAAGGACTTCGTCAGATTTGAAATTTACTTTGGTTTCACTTTAGTTCCATTACTTTATTCAGTCTAGCAACAGGAATAAAATACAGTAAATACAGGGATGAAGCGTATATAAAAGCCCAGAAGAAAAAATAGTGAGGAGTTTAAAACCTGGGCTTCTCAGGTGCTAATAAGACAAAAGAAGTAGTCAGAATAAATTTTATGACTTCTAATCGCACTTCGGCTAAATAAAACAGGATCAATGTATTTTTTATATTAAAATTAATTCTAACTTTCACATTACGGATAATCATTTATGTGTTTGCTGGCTTATTCGCTTTAGTATATTTTAATTTTGCGTAATTAATCAGGGCCAAAAACTCTGCATTCGCTTAGATACTACATTGAACACATGGTCTTGGCATAGTTGGTAGCTTCTTGGAATCAATTTGTTATACTGTGAAAAAGGTTCATTGAAATTATTTGACTTTTTCCCAAAAAGAGAAAGAAAGTACTTGAATGCGACTAATAAAAAAACACTTTGTTACCAATAACGCCCAACACAATACAATGCCGTGATTGGAAGGTATTCATAAGACAATTAGTTGACGACAATAGGCCTTTTCCTACTTAACTACAGAATCCTTCCGGGTTTTTCTTTCTTGTGCAAATAAGTCTTGGTAATAAAGCAGTTTGAATGAATATTGTTATTACCTATGAAAAACTTTAATGTATATGAAAAATATTTGACTTTTTTACAGCAGGAAACTCTTTCAACAAAAAACCACTTTGTCCCAGTAAAACCAAAGACACCCTGTATGTTTTCTTTCCACGTTTCAGAGCATGTAATGTTACCCAAGAAAAGAGTTTCTTTCAAATTTTGTGCCATCCAAGTGCACACGAGTGCGGAATAATTATCTATGAAAATCTCTTGAGACCATAGAGTGATCTGAATGGGGAGAACAAAACATGCAAGCTGAAAATGTCTATACAAAGCCGTTTATTAGAAGGCAGTTGTTGACGATAAAATAAATTCCCACCATAAAGTCCTTATTAGATGGCAGCATTTCATTATACAGAGCAAAACCGATCAGAAGCCCCCTGCTAAAGCAACGAGGCCAAACTTTCCAGAAAGTTGGTGAGTTTTTCAGATTTATAGGCAAGTTAAGTTAAAAGCAAGGTTTTATATTTGCCACCTTCGAAGCTTACCGTTTTAGGGCTTTTATCAGAACACATTCTAAGTTATTGGCGTTCAATTGTTGCCATTTATCTATAAATAAAAGAAGAGAGTTACTTTGAGGCAACAAAATAAAAGCAATGCCCGCGGTAATTGGCGCCACGCGCTTGTACTTGAGGTGACCTTAATTGGCGAACCTAAGTAAATATCCTTTCATCAGGTAACTTTAGCCGCTGTGACTTGACTAACTTGCCTCCTTTTATTATCATCACAGTAAGCGTCGATTCCAAAATCTATCTTAGTGTCTGACTGCTGAACTCGCAAAGCTTTTGCACAGGTGAGTTGCAATTCTCTTTTCGTATTTCCTTCCATACAGTTCCAAATCGTTTCATGAATATTAGATGATTCACCTTGCCTTCTTGTTTCCTTGGCTGCTAGCCAGCTATACATACTCGCGCAGTATGCTACTGAGAGGCAATATTGCAGTCACAAGGAACATTGGGGATAGCAAATTCCCGTCGAATATCCCTCTTGACCCATACCCTCGCTGGGGTCTTCTTACTTCTCTTACACGCCGTTTAATGTTGTCTGCAGCATCTACAAGCTTAAGAGTTTATAATAATATTTTAACGAAATACTTGTTGTTTTATATCAAAATAATTATCATCAGTATCTTCACTTACATTGTGTTATTGTCGTTTTAGTGTTGATATTGTTACTCTATATTTATCCTTTTTGTGCAGGTTGTTCTGATATAACATGCAGAACATCTCTCAAACTGGACGAAGTTCCCATGACCCCCTAGGACGTTCGCCCAGTGAAATTGGTTTAGAAGTGGCGTTGTCTATTCTTTTTTGCATCACCTCCATCCTCGACAACTTGTTAGTCATCTATGTTGTCCATAAAGACTCCAGACTCAAGAGCTTAACATATGTATTCATCTTCAACCTGGCATTGACTGACATTTCCACGGCATCGCTGCACATGCCCTTTTGGATAACAACCTTACGTACGGGGACTTGGGTTTTTAGTGAGAGGTGGTGTGGGCTCTCAGCCGCTCTTATGATGACGTTAGGGGCTGCTTCTATCCTGACCATGGGGCTTATCGCCTTCAATCGATACATCCGAGTCTCCAAACCAGCTCTGTACAACTACCTTTTCCCGAGCAAGAGAATGGCTATATTCTACTGTGTAATCGTGTGGATAGCTTCAATTCTTGTTGCATCACCGCCATTGTACGGCTGGGGTAAGATGATATACTATCCTTCATACGCTGTCTGCGGTTTCGATTGGAAAATCGAGAACATTTCATATACCATAGTTGTCGTGGGCGGAGTGATCAACGGCACCACAGTTTCAATATTTTACTGCTACTACAAGATTTATAAAACTCTTAAAGAAAGCACTCAAAATCTAAATGCCCATAGCAGACAAGATGGAGCGGCCCCCTCAGCACGTCCTGAGACTGATGTAAGACTCTTGAAAACCTGCTTCACGGTCGTTTGTGTATTTCTGATGTCGTGGGGAACAGTGTCTGTTGCTATGAGTCTTGAGACTGCTGGGTTCGTTATTCCCAGAGAAATTTCCGTGTCAGTTGTTTTTATTATGAACACAAGTTGTTTGGTAAATCCAATTATATACGGAATTATGAATCCGCAATTCAAAGAGGCCTTCAAAAGGGCTTTAAAATTAGGTTGTTTGAACAACAACCACTAAGTCAGGGAGCTACAAAAAGTGGCACCAAGCCTGGTAGTCTGCAAGGGGCTGTACTGTCACGAAATTTACTGAGCAAAATTCAGACAGTGAGAACCGCCATCAAATTGAGAGAAACATGAAAATAAGCCAAACAAAAAGCAGGTACGGATGGAAAAACTTGAAGAATATTGAACTTGATTGCAATTGTTCTTTTTGTAAACTTGTAAACTTGTTGTTTGTAACGTTTTATATAATGCTTGGTATGTAGTTGCTGATACAGAGCTAGGATTTGTCTTTCACACATTTTTTTTTAAGTTCCATAGGGAATAAGGAGGTGTGACTGGCATTATATTTAATAAAAAATCCGTGATACAGCCCCATTTAATCTCTCGAGATGATACAAGGCAAGGATTACAGGACATGCTTTTCGTGTGGTATTCTATATAACCCTGAGTTGCAAATGATTGAAAGCACTGTAAATAGTAGTACAACACGGACCCATAAGTCAGGATAAATTCGAAGGGATGAAACACAACGATGTTAACGCTTGATTAAAGGCTGCTTACCCAGAATACCGTCTAGATATTATTAAAAGGTATCAAAAGCGGAGAAAATTAGCTTTGAAATGAGATGTTTTGCACTAAACTTGGATGACTTTCGCCGGATATACAGTGTATTACAGATTAAGATTTCTATGAGAATTTATCGCAAGATCGATAATATGGTTAAAATGCACATAAACAGATATTTCGAGATATTAAAGAGTCCATACCTCATAAAGAGATGTGTCTGTATTGTTTGTTTTCTTACTGTTTCCTGCCCAATAAACTGGCGCCATTTAAGCAGGCTTTGAATGAGAATGAATGAGAACTCAAGAACGTAAAGCTCTACTTCAGTAAACAAACATTGGCTTGTTTAGGTGAAACATATGCGAATACTTTACTTATGCCCAGAAAAGGATGATGCACGGTTACCTGAGTTGCAAACAAGTCGAACAAACCAAGCTCGAAGTCTTTATAATTACTAGTTTATTTTCAAAAAAGACACGTTTAAGAAAACAAGATGAGTACACCACGAGAGACTAGTCTTGTAGAAGGAGCAATTACATCGAGGTAAATGGAAAACAGTTCATTTCAGTCTCTGAGAATAGCGCCATTATGCAATATCCATTATCTCCATTCATTCGCAGCAGTGCTTGATGTTAAGTGTAAGACCTGACGCACTTTTTATCTTCCGACTCTCACTTATTGATAGCCGATTGCTCTTTTGCGGTGGTCAGGAAGGAGATTTTATTAGCCTGCATACAAAACTATAATATAATGTGCAAAACACAGAAAATTGAGGATAAAATTCAGTATAACATGGATGAAAAAGGACGTCGTCAGATTTGAAATTTGAAATTTACTTTGGTTTCACTTTAGTTCCATTACTTTATTCAGTCTAGCAACAGGAATAAAATACAGTAAATACAAGGATGAAGCATATATGAAAGCCCAGAAGGAAACATAATGAGGCGTATAAAACCTGGGCTTCCCAGATGCTAATAAAACAACAGAGGTATTGAGAATGAATTGTATGACTTCTAATCGCACTTCGGCTAAATAAAACAGGATCAATATATTTTAGATATTAAAGTTAATTCTTTCACATCAGGGTTAATCATTTAAAAAATGTGTTTTGTGGTTTTTTCGCTTTCGTATATTTTAATCTTGGCTTACTATTAGAAATCAGGGCCAAAAACTCTGCATTCGCTTTGGTACAGTACATTGAACATAGTCATGGCATAGTTGGTAGCGTCTTGGAATCAATTTGTTATACTATGAAAAAGGTACGTTAAAAATATTTCACTTTTTCCCAAAAAGAGAAAGAAAGTTACCAATAAAGCCGAGCACAATACAAGTCCGTTTATTAGAAAGCATTCAATTAGTTGTTCCGACATGATAAGCCTTTTGCACGATGGCGTCGTTTTACTACACCTTTTTCCCTTTATTACCGGGATATATAAGTTTCCATTAGCGTCAAACATTCGTCATTAAAACGAATGTGTAATGATTGTAGAAAACTAAACAGTGCTGTACTATATCACGGCGTTGATAATGGTTGAAACCGCTGTAAATAGTAGTATAATACGGGCTCATAAGTCATGATAACGAATTTCTGGTAACCTAGCCACCCAAGACCTCTCACACATACAAAGTCCTTGAGAGCCAAACAAAGAAAATCCCAAGGTTAAATGAGTGAGGAGTTCCATGTAAATAAAAACAGAGTCTAAACGTATACTGGTGTGTCTTTTCCTGACTCTAAGGCTACAATAAAAAGAGGAAAAACGGACTAACAAGGGTCAAGAAACTCCCATTTTGCCCAAAAAGAAAAATTTCGCTAATAAAGCTCTTTCTAATGACGAGACTATACTTCCAAGGGTCTTGAATTTATACCAACTCCTCCCGTTCCGTTGTCTAAAAAATCCTACTAAAGCATTTTAATACTTTTGCAAAAACAATTCTTTTAAGATAAATAAATATATCAGCGAAAGAAAAATTAAAACCGAATGCACATTCATTTATCCAGTGGCACCCATACTTTCTTTAATAACAACACATTTGTTTTAGGGGCCGACCATTTGATTTTTGAGGAGGAGGGGGAAGGAGGGTATGGGTGATTTGGCTTGGGAAAGAAATCTTTTTTTTCCCAAACCTCTGGTAAAAGAACTTTTTCCTGGCATACAACCGTGTACGATTTTTTTACAGCATTATACGTCATTAAGCGTATTTAGTGCAAGATTCTTTTTCCCTCGAAAACAGTCTGCAGGATATTTTTTTCTGAAATCACCTATACCCCCCCGCCCCTCAAAGTCAAATGGTCGGCCCGGTTGGAACAGGTGACCGCAGTCAATAATCATGAACTGAAGCAGTAATTACAAGAGTGAAGTTTATGAGTTTTCCTATTGTTAATGAGAAGACACCATGACACCATAAATTTGCATGCGTGTAATTACACTATTTTTTCTATAACAATATATTTCATAAGAATATCGAGGCCGAAATTTGTGAAATTTTAAGAATAGTTAAGAATAAACTCTAGGCTGAGAGTTTGAAAAGGACTCAGAATTAAGAATATTTTCAGCCTAAAATCGGCAGAAAAATAAGAATATTCAGTCTGGGACGAAAAAACAACATTCTTATATAAAATAAATGTGTAAGCTTAATGGGGCTAAAATCCCGCTATTCATGCCACAGGTAGCCCAAGCTCGAAATATGAGCGTCGGCGAGCTTCGACATTGTTGCGTAACATTCAAAATATAAGGATTTGTATGGGAAAAAAAAACCTATCGTTTCTGTAACCCAGGAAAATGAAAGGATTTCAATAAAAGACAGCTTACCTTACTTAAAATGTGTGTCGCGTCTCTCCTGTGTGGTCCACGGGCCGATTTATGGCCGTTTTATGGGTTTTTGCGTAAATGGTTTTCTCTATATATAAAGGTGATACCTCTATATAGAGGTATATATTAACGGTTTTCTCTATATATAAAGGTAATACCTCTATATAGAGAGAAAACCGTTTACATAAAAACCCATAAATTGGCCATAAATCGGCCCGTGGACCACACAGGAGAGACGTGACACACATTTTAAGTAAGGTAAGCTGTTTTTTTTACTGAAATCCTTTCATTTTCGTAGGTCACAGAAACGATAGGTTTTTTTTCGCATACAAATCCTTATATTTTGAATGTTACGCAACAATGCCGATGCTCGCCCATGCTCATATTTCGAGCTTGGGCTACCTGTGTTCATGCTAAAACATTTTGCGCACCGACCGAATTCCAAAAATAATGGCCCAGTTTTGTTGTTAATTTTAGGTGTTGAATTAAACTGTTTTTTGATGTCTATTGCAACGAATGGCAAGGAGAGACATGGATTGAAACGTGAAGAATTTGCGCCACCTTTTCAACTTTAATGTTATGACTGCAAAAATCACCAAAAAGCTATTATAGTTAATACTCTATGAGGATGAAATTGGTCTTCATCTTTTTGTGTACGGGTAATTATATGCAGTAAGTAATAACTTCAACACAGAATTAACATAAAACAGCAATATCGTTCCCCTTAAATGTTTTAAATAGCCATCAATTAAACATGCTGAATTCGCGGGTAGTTGATTTGGTTCAGTGGGGATCCAATCGTTGCTTTGCAAACAACTAGTTGCTTCTTGCTACGTGACATAACATCTTTAATCTATAACTAGACAGCTGTTGAGTTAAATGAATAAATCATGCTGTTAGAGTCGATTTAAGACATCTTGTTTTTTTTTAAAGTGTTCACTTCTACTTTCAGGTTCAATGGAGCAAGTATATATATAGGATAAAAAACGCACGATTGGAATTCCGAAAGCCATTTTTCAGGTATTTTATACTTCAGTCTTTGCAGCTGCTTAAAATTAGATGAGAGAACAGTGAAAACTGCCTCGTTTTTTTTAAAATATTTGTACGTTTTGCCAAAAAAAGGAAATAATCCATTGGGCGGACTCTCATCTTTCTAGCTGATAGCTAAATAAAACAAATATAAAAGCATTATATAAGTGTGCAAAACAGCGCTCTCTTTTTCTTTCTAAATGAGTGAGTATTATATAAATACTGAGTTAACGCTATATAAGCAATATTGTGCAGAATACTTCGCCCTGGAAAAAAATGGCTGTGGAATTCTTGTCCTGTAAAGTTGCATGAATTGTTAACGTCGAAGAAAGAGTAAATTGTTCTTAATAAAGGATGAAGAGAAAAAGCCTTTTCAGATCAATAACAGTTTGCTAGTGTACAAATTTAAAAGTACTTCCTCCATTTATGAGGGCTGGGATTGGAAATATAAGATTTTAATATTTGAAGGTTGAATGTTTTCCCAATAGGGGGCATAATAACTGTAAAGGTTGAAGACCAGCCACAATGTAGCTACAATGTAGAGGATTGGCCAGAGCATGTTCTAATTTTAAAGTCATTTTAGCGATAGCATCCAAATGGAAATAAAGACATCGTCATTCTTTTGGGATTCAAGTATTTCCAGTCATTCATTATTGCGACGGCGTTCCGAATTTTCCATTAATCCACATAATTCTTATTCATCTTCTATGAGAACCCTTCATTCATTATTCGTTATACTTCTCGATCTAGTCTCCTCGAATGCTAATGTTTACGTTTTACAACTTGAAGAACTCAGGTGCTACCAACTACAGCAGCAACAGCAGGAACAACTTAACATATCTATTTTCATATTTGCATACATTTACAGCTGTTTGAAAGGGGAAAAGATGAGGAAGCGCAAAAAAAAGTGAAACGCACAAGGAAAGAATTCATTTTTTAGACTTCATAATATGTGATTATTCAGTTACTTCAATATTGTTACTATTTTTTTTTTAAATCTTAAGATTATAACAGTGTGACAACATATTCATGATCCAGCAACTAAGGCCCAGTTATTTAAACGGAGTTTACCTAGTGTTCTAAAAACCGCGTTCTAAGCCATTTTCAGTTTGCCGAACGCTTTTATATAAACACCATTTATCGCGAACACTGAGGGCGCGATCCATTCAACCAAAACTTCCGGAAATTTCGGTCCAAAACTCAATGGATCGGTTCGGTCCAACCGGAAAAGTTTCGAAAAAACAGGTCCACCTTTTGAGGTGGTCCTCTTTTCCCGGTCGGACCGGTCTGAATTTTGGTTGAATGGATCGCGCCCTGAATTTCATGAAAGCATGTGGCGTAGCCAGGGAAAGCATTTGTCCTCTTAAAAAAACCCAGGCTTAGGAGAGAAACTTGCAACTATTACCTAATTGTAACTGCTTAACTACTATGCAGGGTAGGTACAATTCTCACTTCATTACAGCTTGACTGTTGTATCATTTTTTGCAGGCTTAACACTTCTATTGTCTCCTGATATAATATGACGAACAGTTCTCGAACTGAACCGAGTTCCCACGATCCTTTAGGACGTTCAAGCAGCGAAATAAGTTTAGAAGTGGCCTTGGCCATTCTTATTTGCGTCACCTCAATCCTCGATAACTTGTTAGTCGTCTATGTTGTCAATAATGACTCCAGGCTCAAGAACGTAACGAATATGTTCATCCACAACCTGGCATTAACTGACATCTCCATGGCAACGCTGCAAATGCCTTTTTGGATAATAAGCCTTCACAAAGGGGCTTGGATTTTTAGCGGGAAGTGGTGTGAACTTTCAGCTGCAATTGTGTCTACGTTTGGACTCGCTTCTTTCTTGAATATGGGGCTTATCGCCTTCAACCGGTACATTCGCGTGGTTAAACCAGCACTGTATAACAAACTTTTCCCTGGCAAGAGAATGGCAAGACTCTACTGTGTTATCGTATGGATAGCTTCTACGCTTCTTGCAACACCGCTATTGTACGGGTGGGGTAAGATGGCGTACCATCCCTCTTTTGCTTTCTGCACTGTTACCTTTAATATTCAGTATATTTCATATGCCATAGCTGTCACAGGACTGTTCATGGTAACCACTATTGCAATGTTTTATTTCTACTACAAGATTTATAAGACTCTCAGAGAAAGCACTCAAAATCTACATGCCCATAGCACAGAAGAGGGAGTGTCCCCATCAGAACGTCGTCGAACTGATATAAAACTCTTGAAAACCAGTTTCACTGTCGTTTGTACGTTTTTGATGACATGGGGACCAGCCTGTATCGTTGTGATTGTTGAGACCGCCGGATGTTTTATTCCCAGGAGGATTTTTGTGACAGTGGCTTGCCTTATGTTCACCAGTAGTTTAGCAAATCCAATTATATACGGCATCATGAATCCACAGTTCCGAGCGGCCTTCAAAAGAGCTTTAAGTTTTGGTCGGCATGGCAACGACCAAGTGAGGCCGAGTCGTACAGCAAATGAAAGCAAGTCTTGAAGTCCATCTATTTCTTGGGAATGACATGAGGGTTTAGAATTAGCTTGCAGCAAATGCGTATTATGCAGATACTAAACACACTGTACAAGTGAGGAAACTTGGGTTGATGAGTACATACAGCTTCATTTGATCAACTTGTGTTAGACCAAACCCAGCTCTCAAACGAGTATCTCGCTTTGTCTCCGCGGACGCTTTGATTCTCCTATATAAAACGTTTGTAGTTGCATATTTAGAATATTGTACCTACTTTGCCCTTCATTACCAGGAAATGAATTTTCATTACAGTCAAAATATCAGTCAATATAATGAATGTGTAATCATTGCAGGAAAATAAACTAACGTCTTAATTTTCGAGTGGTCAGTAAGATTTTTAAATAGAGAAGGAAATTCAATAACATCAATAAGTTTTCGATTTAATAAAATGATAATCATTCTAAACAATAAAGAAACATTTGCAGCATCTAAATGTTCGTTAACGTTAATAAATTATCATAATCAACAGAGGTTATTAGTGTGAAAGGTTTGAACCCAGGAGTCATTTCAAAAGTAGGTTGAGTTTGATCGTCGCGGTGAACGTAGTCCTGAATAGGACTGTTGTTGTTGACAGTGACTCACGTTTCGACAACCTGTGCGTTAGTCATCTTCAGAGTCAAAGTGAGTTGTATCACGTCAGTTGATGGTATTATACTCTGGTTATTGATTTGATTGGTCAATTACGTCGTGATGTTATTGGTCGTCTGTCAGTTAAGCCGTGATGTTATTGGCTATGAAGACTCGTAATCAGTAATTGGTGCGTTTCGATCCGTCTATTGTTACAGTTAAACAGTCGTCTATTGTTAGTCAAATTGTCATTCTCTCGTAGTTAGTTTTGCTTGATCTCGTCAATAAGTCGTTTGTACGGCGTTGGCTACGATTCAGTGGCGTTTGTTCTAAGTTAGTAAACCAGCTTTCTAAAGTAAGACGTTGATAGTAGTCTGTAGAATACGTTATACATGTCGCAGAGTCCCAGTCAATTTGATGTTTCGTCTTTAAATGGTGCTCAGCAATGTGATTGTTGATGTCACCATTTTTCGTAGCTCGTTTGTGTTCCGTCAGTCGCGTGCTTAGGTTTCTGCCGGTTTCACCAATGTAAGAAGCCTGGCAGTCGCAGCATTTGATCTTGTATACTGCTCCTTGTCTGTCCTCCGGTTTGTCTTTGTCCTTGACATTAGTAAGAGGTCGCCGTAAAGTGGTTATCGGTTTGTGTGCAACACGTATATTGTAAGGTTGTAATATACGTGCAATAGTTTCAGAGGTGCCTCTGATGTACGGTATAGTCGCCGTCGCAACAAGGCCAGAGTTCGTCTGAGTGTTGGAATCAGTGTTACTGTGAGTGTTCCGTCTAACAAAGTCCGTGTTGTAATTGTTCTTACTAAAAACGTTGTTAAAATAATCAGCCTCGTCTTGTAGGCTGTCAGGTGAGTCACAAACTAGCTGCGCTCGTCTCGTCAGAGTCCGGATAGTAGTAGCCTTGTGACAGGTCGGGTTGTACGAAGACTGGTCTAGTAATCGGTCGGTATGTGTCGGTATGTGCTCATGTTCCATATGCTTGCTTTTTCGAGTTTTGAGTTGCATGAACCCAAACAACCGTGATTGATGTCGTTATTGCGTTCTTTATTTTTATTTATCTTCCTGCTCCCTGATTTTACATGTATTGACCGAACATTGTACGCATCGCTTGTTTGTTTGTGCGAGCACAGCAGCAAATTACAAACCTAAGGAAATGATTGTAACGTACTATACGCGCCCCTGCAATACGAGTTTCAGGATGTTGTAAAATTCGCTCCAGAATTAAAGCGTGCCTCCAACTTCAACGCAATATTGGCATGTAGTGCTCATAAAAATAATAATTGCTATTTATATTCTATTATCAGAAACGAACATTCGACTTCACCTAAGGAAAATGAAACTTCATTCGCACTAAAGAGTGATCGATGTTTTCGTTAAAACGCTATAGAAATTGGCCTTAATGACTATGCCACAAAATTAAATGTTTGCTTCCTTGGCTAAACGGTTTATACATTAATTAATGCATCAGTCAATTCCACCTGCGCCCAGCCACCCCCCTTGGCTACTGCGGGACATTTGCCTGCCTTGTCAGTCAAATTTTGCACTGCCCGGTAGCCGGGTATTTGCCAACCCCGCGGCTATTCCCGAGCTTTTGACAGACACGCGGTTTCCTATCAGAATATAGCTACACAGGTTTCACTGGAAAAAATGCGGATTGGCTCATCTGTCAAGGACAGGAATAAATTGAAAAGGGTTGTAAAGGCATGTTCTCGATTTTATGCACGCATTTTTCTTCATTGCTGATCAAAATTACACAGCGAAATTGGAGCTATCGATGTGAATCAACGTTTTTCGGTTATTGAATCAAATTTCTGTTGAGATTATTTGAAGAACATCCTTTCATATTTATAAATTTATCCATAACATATAACTTTACAGCACTCTATTAATTTTAATGTCAATAATTTTTTATCAATACTAAAACCATAAACTGGTGCATGTCGTCGTTAGAATCGTTAGAATCCTACCGCGTCATTAGAATCCTAGCACTATTACAAAGGAAGACGTTAATTGAAACAAAAAATAGAACATTAAAATGCTTAAAATGGCGCTATTCGACTGTGCGATCAATGAAAAATGTTGCAGTGTTGACGGAGGACGGGGCATCTGCCGTCTTTTTCGTCCCCACCCCCGGGAATCTGCCATCCAAGGCGAAAAAATGCCAATGCCCGGGGGTCAGCCTGGGGGGGGGCTGGTCGCAGGTGGAATTGACTGATGCATAAAATGAATAATAATTTCGCGTTAATAAAAATTTATTTCCCGCTAATGAAGAGCAAAAAGGTGTAATACAGTTTTAGTTGGTCTTGGTAAAGGTGCAGAGCGATAGACTCGAAAATGCTAACTATTATATCTTAAGAACTCTATTTAGGACTAAGAATGAAAGCTACGAAAGCTTACTGAATCTCGTGGGCATGGATACTTTGAAACACCGTCGTTATTACCAAGCTCTGATGTTGATTTATAAATGTCTTTACTCAATAGGTCCAAAGTATGTTATAATCTAAGGGGTAAGTGAAGTAACTTGGTAGAGCCTCATTTTAACACTGAGTGGATGCATAAATCCTTTCCATTTATAGCTAGCAAGCTGTGGAACAAGCTACCGTCATACATTAGTAACTCTGATAATTTTAATGTGTTAAAAAGGCTCTTCAAAAGTTCAATTTAGAATCGCAATATACTAGTTTTTGTCTTTTTATAATTTATTTCATTTTTTGCTGTTATAGTTTGTGACCTTTTTCTGAATTTTCATATTAAATTTTCGCTCTTTTTTAAAGAGTTTTTTATATGATGATATATTTTTATGCAATAGATATTAGATCTTAAGTAGTTAAAGTTTTCACTGAGGTTTTTACTGTTTTCTAGTATAACTAGCTTTCTTACTACTTACACGAATGGAAACAGGACATGAAACCCAGAAGAAAGCAATCATATTATAAGCCTGCAAACCTGGGCTTCCCAATCGAAAACAAAACATATAAGTAGGTTAAGAATAAATTTCATGACTGTTAATCGCACTTCGGTTAAATAAAAGAACGTCAGTTTATTTCCGATATTAAAGTGATATAATTCTTTTATATTACGGATTCCTTTGTATTTTCTGATTTAATTCCCTTTGATTTATTTTCTCGCGCTATCATGAGAATTCAGAGCCAGAAACCCTGCATTGAGCTCTTGGTCTTGGTAACTGAGCATTTGGAATCAATTCATTATTACTAGGAAAAAGGAACATTGTAAAAATATTTGACATTTTCACAACAAGAGGAGAAAGGTAATTGCATGCCATTAATAAAATTCACTTTCTCGTCAGTAAGCCGAAGACAATACTGGGCCGATTATTAAAAGGAAGGCATTTAATACCTAAAACTAACAGTTGCTGTATGAATTTGCCGTCATTTATTTAGTTTCATAGATGTAACCGACTAAATAGTGACATGACTGCCATATAAATAGTCTTCGTTAGATGACATTTAAGATACAGAGCAAAACGGAGAAGGAGAACTGTACAAAATTAATATATATTGAGACCGAACTTCCCCGAAATTTGGTAAATTTTACAAATAGACAGGTAAAGTTAGTTGAAAACAATGTGTTATTTGCCACTTGAAAGATTACCGTTTTTGGTCTCACATGATTTTCGGTCAACTAGGGCTAAGAATACATTTCTCAAGACGTGATGTGGTTTTTATACAAGTTAAAATATAAATAAGCAAAGAAAATTCAAAAAAGGGAAAATGCTTGAATTCATAGTCCCCTTTCAAAGATTACTTTTAAAAGAAGAAATTTGAAAGGAAGCCACAGCATTTTTAGTGTTGCTGAATTCATTCTTAGAAGCAATTTTTTACCAGTAGGGAATTCTGTTTAAAACCAAATTGAGCACCGCCCTACCATGAACTTACCTAGGCTAGTGGACGCTAAGATACGCACGATAGCTGATGGGTAAATGCTTCACGTAGTAAAGGCAACTGCGATTGGAACCGGGAATGCATTTTTTCAAATACATTTTCATTTTCATATCCAAAATCGCTAACAAGTGAAAATTTTATCCACAATTAAAACGAAAAAAGGAAATAGTGACATATTCTATTTGGAGCGTAATATTTCTTCAGTTGTTGCAGCTAGCTCTCCTTGTTGAAGAAAATTTTTGAAAGATGAAAGAGGAAAACCCAACTATTACTTCGTAATAACTGCTAAACTACTGGAGATACAAATTTTGACTTCGTTGATAGTCGATTACTGTACTTATTATTTTTTATTTTATCATTCTTTTTAGCAGGCAGGCAATTTATAGTAGCATCGTGACCTGTTATCATGGCCTACAGTTTTCAAACAGGACCGAGTTCCCACGATCCACTAGGACGTTCGCGCACCGAAATCAGTTTGGAAGTGGCCTTGTCTATTCTTATTTGCCTCATCTCCATCCTCAACAATTTCTTAGTCGTCTATGTTGTCAATAAAGACTCCAGACTCAAGTGCGTAACGAATATATTCATCCTGAACCTGGCACTGACTGACATCTTTATGGCAACACTGTATATGCCTTTTTGGGTAATAAGCCTCCACTCTGGGACTTGGATTTTTAGCGAGAAGTGGTGTCAGCTTTCTGCTGCGATTCTGTCTACCTTAGCAGCTACTTCTCACCTGACTATGGGGCTTATCGCCTTCAACCGATATGTCCGAGTCGTCAAACCAGCGATGTACAGCAGACTTTTCCCAAGCAATAGAAGGGCACGATTTTACTGCGCCCTCGTATGGATAGCTTCTACACTTGTTGCAACACCGCCGTTGTACGGGTGGGGCAAGATAGCCTACCATCCCTCTTTTGCTATCTGCACTTTTTCCTGGAAAATTGAGCATATTTCATATGGCATAGTTCTTATGGCAGTACTGGTCAACGGAACCACAATTGCAATATTTCATTCCTACTACAAGATTTATAAGATTCTTAAAGAAAGCACTCAGAACCTGAATGCCCATAGCACAGAAGATGGAGCGGCATTATCAGAACGGCGTCGAACTGATATCAAACTCTTGAAAACCAGTTTCGCTGTCGTTTGTACATTTGTGGTGACCATGACACCAGGTTCTGTCCTTGTGATTTGCGAGACCGCTGGGTGTTTGATCCCCAGGACAATTTCTCTGGCAGCTGTTTACCTCGTGTTTACCAGTAGTTTAGTAAATCCAATTATATACGGGCTTATGAATCCGCAGTTTCAAGCGGCCTTCAAAAGGGCTCTACGTTTTGGTCGGTGTGGAAACAATCAAATAAGTCAGGGGTGGACAGGAAATGGCATTCAGGCCTTGTCGCAAGGTTCGATGTCCTGAGACGATATGAGGACTCAGAATTAGCCTTCAGTACGTGCCTGTTTTTTTCAGGCAGGTAAAATCTTTTATCTCTTGTCTTGTAGTTAAATGAGATAGGACTGGATGCGAGCTCGTAAATATGTGATTTAACTGGTAGTAACCATAGGCCTTTGTCAAACGGCTGCCATTTTGTCCCGAGAAACTAAAGTAGCTTTGTTTTTCCTGTCTATCCTCGTTCCCAAGTTTTTCACTGCGAGGTCGAGAGTGGTAAATCAAAGCTTTTTCAGTCTCTCGAGACAATATGGCCGCCGTGTGACAAAGGCCTATAGATTAGTGAGTGCCTTCGGAGTTTTCTTAACTTTACCGTCAATCATTATTTCAAAATAAGAGAAAGGTCATTTTTAAATAATAATTGTTTCTATGCTCTCCACGTGGACGGCTTCATATTTCAAAATGTGTTGTTAATCCTCAAGTATGGTAAATAACAATGAATAGTAGATGGCAGAAATATTTGTTTTGTAAAAAGATAATATAAATACATCTCTACAAACGTCCCAGGCATGGTAACCTCAAAGTACATTCTGTCTTCTTTCGTTTAAATTCATTAAATAGACCACTTTCACGTTCCTTAGCTTATTCATTTATGGTGGGTGAATATTTAATGTTATTTTAAATTAACCTCGTTCCCAGGGCTTTTTCCGAACGAGGTTGGCAGTAAATTAACTAATGCATAAAATTAAACTTTGTTCTTTCACCAATTAATCAGTCAAAAGTTCAGTGACTGAGTGGTACTATTGGCTATAGCAGTGTCCAAGCGTCGCACTCAAGACTTGCCAGTTGTGAATAAGCAAGGCTTGAGTACTGCATTTTTGTTTAACTACCATTCGGCCATTGCAGAAATTTTTATTAAAGACTACTTTTTCACTTTTTGACTTTGGTGTACCATTTTCCATTAGCTTCCTCTCTTCCTCGGCACTTTTATAGGCTTCCGAAAAGCTCTGGAACAAGGCACCATGTTCTCTTGAGACAGACTGGAGATTTGATTAGTCCGCATACATCATAACCAAGAGAGGTTATAACTGAATTTCGTGCCGTGAAACTAAATCATAACACGTATGAAATAGGATTTCTTTAAAGAGTGATAGTGGACAAAGCATTAATCTAGAAATCTGAATGACCTACATCTTAAGAAATTGTGGTTTACACCTGACCTAAGCATATTTTCTTTCAATTATTTTTACTGACTTTAATATTATAAGTTGACTTCTTTTATAACAGTCACAAAATAAAGTCGGAGAGAGAAGTCATCATGGGATCCCGAAGAAACCAACTGAAGTCGCAAACAAGATATTAAGTCAAATAAAATTACGGCACCTTTCAAAAAACACGCGAACTCTGAAGTTCAGAAATCTATTGACGTTTGCGTTCTTTGCAGCCGTCAATTATCTTGGCTGATCTCTTAGCGGACCTCAAACAAGAGTTTTGTGTTTCTATGTTTCAAGGTTCCTTGCTTAACTTGTGATCGTAATTATGATTGACGACAGCGAAAACGCAATTTTGAAGGCGGCTTTTAAACTTCAGAGTTCGCGTGGTTTGAAAACCGCAGTGAAAACTGTTAATCGCACACTGGATATTGAATAGAGAAGTTACTATTTTCTTCTTGGTTTCTTCACTTTGATATTTTACTTGGGTAACTTTAAGGATTCAGGAACACAAACCCGTTGTATTCGCTCCGATAATTACTGCGAACGCGTAGTCTTATATACTTAAAGGGTGGGGAGCTGAGCGTTGAATCCATTTGTAATGTATCATTATTTATTGCAAACGTTGAACAATTTTTCAAGTATAAGAGGAAGCAACTGCATGCGTTTAATAAAAATTAACATATTACTAACAAAGCCGAAAAGAATACCTGGGCCATTCATTTCTAGGCACTGTTCAGTTCTTAAGGTTAAGACGTAAAAGCTATTGACGACCTTTTGAATGTCAGTCATCTTTTTAGGATAATGACTCAGATGAAAATGTTTTCCTTTCAAGGACGAATCATGATAAATTATACGTCTTACGATTAGTAGTTAACCATTGAAGATACATTTAAGAAAACCACAGTTTGAAAACACCACGAAAAACTAATCATGAAGACAGGGCTATTGAATGATTTCATGAAATTCAGTTGATTTCTTAATAACCTCATTAAACAATAGAGCGTTCGTTCTTGCGTATTCGGTGCTTAAAATTGAGTGTAACAGCTGACGCAATTTCCATCGTCCATCTCTCATTTCCTGATAGAAATTGCGTAGTAAGGAGTTTTGATTAGTCTGCATAAATGAGTTTCTGTTTTTGTTACCTAAATAGATAAAACAATAATAAAATAAAGAATATATCATTCTAAGCAAAGCACCTTGAGAATAAACTGCATTTGAAATTAGACAACTAGAA